TCTTCAGGGAAGCCTACCCCCACCCCCTGCTAACTTGCCGACCTCCTCCACTCTTCCTACCACTCCATCCCCCACAGCTATCTCTTCCTGTACCACTATCCCCTCCCTCCTAGATTGTAAGCTCGAAAGAGCAGGGCCCTCAATCCCCCTCATGTTTTGCATTGTATTGGTATTGTTCTGTCACATGTTCTGTCCCCCTTTGTAATGTACAGCGCTGAGCGAACTATTGGCGCTTTATAAATACTGTATAATAATAGTAATAATAATTTGCTGAATTTTGGCATCCAGTGGATTATATAAAACCTTACAGGTTCATTGCTGAGTGGTCGTCAGCTCCTTCTGCTTGTGACCTGATCCTGTGCTCATACGTATCCTGACCCAGCTTGTTGATCCTGCTTGTTCGTGAACTTCTGTTGCTGACTTCGCCTTGTGACCCAACCTTGCTTCCTGCCTACCGTTTTGGAACATCTTCTACTCACCTGACACTGACATTGGCCTACAACTGTCTAAAGCTCCCTTTATAGGGGCTGCCAGAGGGAGTCAAAAACTGGGATTTGATCTGCATTTTAAGATCCCCACACCCACTTATAAAATGACATGGTGCCTCTCAGAAGTGTTCACAATACTGCAGTTTTAACACTGCATGCCACGTTTGACACGCAGCAACACCTATATAAGTGAATGGGGCAGCAGTTTATGGTTTGCACAGTCCAGAAATGCAAAGCTGTCAGTTACCAATAGTAAAAAAAAGCAAAACAACTTTTATAAAATCAGGAGGCATCAGAAGCAAGCAGCAGCATCTCCTGAATGCCTGTAAACCTCATTTCACTGCTCTTTGAAAAGCAACCCATTGCAGATTTATTTATTTGTTCATTAATTTTTCTGTTAGTATCTTTTTTCTGCCTAGGTATGTAACTGACTTTGAAGCTAAGAGAGGCTTTTTCATGTACTAACTACTAAGAGTCTGTGCTGAAAAATTACATAAGAGACATACTGTACATATGCAATTCCAGTTCAATTACTTTTTAGGACTTTTTGACTTTTGATAGTTATAAGTTATCATTGTTCAGTATTTATAATTAATGTTGTATTTATACTGTAATACTATTAGAGACATAGAAGAGGATGACAGGTTTTTTTTAACCTACTTGTCTGAGTTTAGATCTTTTTGCCTTGAGCATGTTTAACTACTTGACCTCTGGAAGATTTACCCTCCTTCCTGCCCAGGCCATTTTTTTCTATACCGTACTGCGTTACTTTAACTGACATTTGCACAGTCATGCAATACTGTACATAAATAACATTTATGTAATTTTTTCCCACAAATAGAACTTTCCTTTAGTGGTATTTGATCACCACTGGGTTTTTTATTTTTTGCGATATAAACAAAAGATTAAAAATATTTTCTTATCTTTTTGATGTTTCTGAGGATAAGATGTCATGGCTATCTGCAAGAATTTCTCAAGTAACTAAGAGTGATCTGTCCCAATAGCTGGGCTGGGAACTGGTTAACATACAATGGAACAGCCCAGCTACTAAACCTTTAGTCTTTTTGTAGTCTCCCAAGCGGTATGATTATGTCAGTATTTCTGTGCTCAAAGCGGTTCATTTTTTTGCATGGAAATACGTAGTTTTTTTATTGTAGGCTTGTAATTCTTAGGAATAACTCACTGAAATCTGTCCAAACAAGAGTCTAGTAAACATCCCGGGTATGTTAAAATTTGAAACACAAAATCATAAATTATAATTTAATAAATAATCAGAAAAAATAATATAATAATAAATTTAATTCAATAATATAATCAAACCAAAAACACTGAAATTTGAAATAGAGCGCCAAGTTCGCACATCACTGAGCAAAGTCGCAAAATCGTTTTCAGTGTCTGATGACAAATTTCCCCACGAATCATTATCACTCAATTCTGCAAGTGGTTCTAATTTACTATCACTGTTCTCTAGCTGGTCTAAAACCACTTTTGACCTAAAGGGACGCTTTTTGGACGCCATGAACTTTTCTCAGTTTCCAGGCAGAAAGAACAGTAAAAATGCAGGCAGGGCACAGAACAAAGCACTCGGGACAAAATGTATGTGAAATGGTTTGATACAATAATGTTTTACTATGTGATTTTAGTGTACTGAGTGAATGTCACTTTTTAAAATTTTAAAATTTCCCGCTGGTTACGTCCCCATACGTCCCGACCTTGCAGGGTATTCCCGAGTGTAGCTCAGTGTTACCGCTTGTGGTGCTGAAACTTTACCCCGAGCTACACTCGGGAATACCTCCAGGGAGGTTTAAATCAATTTCAACTGATGAGGTGATATCTGCTGCATACAGTAAAGCAGGGTTAATTATGGTAATCACAGCTTTCCATAACATGGAGAACTAAGCTGGATTATTCCTTGCTAGAAGTTCCAGAAGAGAACATCTAAAAAAAAGGTAAGCTGCAATTTTGTTATGCTATGTGAATGGGGACATGTAACAAATATAAAGTTAAAGTAGGTATTATCCCAATGTAGCTGCAAAAGTGGCAATACACTTTACATTCACTTACTGCTGATTGCCTCTGCTAGACGTTTGTTTCAAGCATCAACACATTTTAGTAAAACTATTTTTTAAGTACATTTAGAACTTTCCCCCTGCTAGTTTGAGGTCATGTCCCTGTGTTCTCGATCATAACTAAACCTAAGAACAGAAATGCAGTATATTGCAGTTTACATCATGCCAGAAAGGCAGTATTACTTCCTCTAATCTGCACAGAAGAATATCTTTGTTCCTAGCTATCTTCTGTAATCTGCCAATTGCCCTTCACCCTCTGCCCAACCCCACCCCATGTAATGGAGATGAAGAGACCTGGACATGTTTGGATTCCACATCAGAACAGCAGTCTAGGATGACAACCATGGCTCCCTCTATAGATACAATGAACGAGTGACAGAGCCACCCAGGGACTGGAAGTGTGCTTGTCAGGGCTCCCAGGTGTGACCAGAGGTGAGTGACTGACGCAGGGAAACGCGGACTTCAGATATGTGATAAACAATATAATTTATTAACACTAACAATACAAACATAAACGCAGTGCAATACTAAACATAATACAGTGCAAACAAACCAACCACCCACAGATAACAGTACATACAAGCAAGCGTCGTCAGGCAGGCCGGGTCAATATCAATAGGGCAGGTAGGTACAGGGGGAGCAAGCGGAGATTGGTCGGGGTCACAGGCCAGGTTCAGCAGGTAGCTAGCGCAGCGTAGTACAGAGGGTCAGGCAGAGGGATGGTCAGGGTCACAAGCCAGGGATCAGAACAGGTAGCAGGCAGCGTAGTACAGAGGGTCAGGCAGAGGGATGGTCAGACAAGCCAGGGATCAGAACAGGTAGCAGAGAATCAGACAGGAACAGAGCAGGAACAGGATACAGGGCCCAAGAGAAACACAACACCAAGGCAGAGTCTGCAAGTCTGGCCATCCCTTAAATACCCCAGCATAATCAGTTCCAGGTGTTAGCTGGCTGCAAAGTTGAGTCTCTGATTGCTGGGAGCATCCGCTGGCCAGCCCTGGTACTGCAGATCAAAAAGGCAGGTGAGTCCCACCATTGCTGGCTAGTCCATTCCTGACAGTACCCCCCCCTCAAGGAGCGGCCTCAGGACGCTCCAAACAGTCCTAGCTGGGCAAAATGTTCCACCGCCCGGGTCTGGTAACTGGCGGGATATCAAAGACTGGCACACCGGGCAGGACTCCGGGCAGCGGCACACTGGGCAGGACTCCGGGCAGCGGCACACCGGGCAGGGGCACACCGGGCAGAGGCACATTGGGCAAAGGCACACCGGGCTGGACTCCGGGCAGAGGCACACCGGGCTGGACTCCGGGCAGAGGCACACCGGGCTGGACTCCGGGCAGAGGCACATCGGGCTGGACTCCGGGCAGAGGCACATCGGGCTGGACTCCGGGCAGAGGCACATCGGGCTGGACTCCGGCGGGGCGACAGGCTTCGGGCCCCCAGGCGGGGCGACAGGCATTGGGCCCCCAGGCGGGGCGACAGGCATCGGGCCCCCAGGCGGGGCGACAGGCATCGGGCCCTCAGGCGGAGCGGCGGGCGCCGGACCCCCCCAGATGGAGTGACAGGTCTCGGGCCCCCAGGCGGAGCGGCGGGCACCGGACCCCCAAGTGGAGCGACAGGTCTCGGGCCCTCAGGCGGAGCGGCGGGCGCCGGACCCCCAGATGGAGTGACAAGTCTCGGGCCCCCAGGCGGAGCGACAGGGTCTCGGGCCCTCAGGCGGAGCGGCGGGCGCCGGACCCCCAGATGGAGCGACAGGTCTCGGGCCCCCAGGCGGAGCGGCGGGCGCCGGACCCCCAAGTGGAGCGACAGGTCTCGGGCCCTCAGGCGGAGCGGCGGGCGCCGGACCCCCCCAGGTGGAGCGACAGGTCTCGGGCCCCCAGGCGGAGCGACAGGTCTCGGACCCCCAGACGAAGCGGCGGGCACCGAGTCACCAGGCACGACAGTGGGCACCGAGTCGTCTGGCAAGACTGCGGGCACCGAGTCGTCTGGCAAGACTGCGGGCACCGAGTTGTCTGGCAAGACTGCGGACATCGAGTCAACTGGCGGAACAGCGGGCATCGAGTCAACTGGCGGAACAGCGGGCATCGAGTCAACTGGCGGGACTGCGGGCATCGAGTCAACTGGCGGAACTGCGGGCATCGAGTCAACTGGCGGAACTGCGGGCACCGAGTCGTCTGGCAAGACTGCGGGCACCGAGTCGTCGTCTGGCAAGACTGCGGGCACCGAGTCGTCTGGCAAGACTGCGGGCACCGAGTCGTCTGGCAAGACTGCGGGCATCGAGTCAACTGGCGGAACAGCGGGCACCGAGTCGTCTGTCAAGACTGCGGGCACCGAGTCGTCTGGCAAGACTGCGGGCACCGAGTCGTCTGGCAAGACTGCGGGCACCGAGTCGTCTGGCAAGACTGCGGGCACCGAGTCGTCTGGCAAGACTGCGGGCACCGAGTCGTCTGGCGGAACAGCGGGCATCGAGTCGTCTGGCAAGACTGCGGGCACCGAGCCGTCTGGCAAGACTGCGGGCACCGAGTCGTCTGGCAAGACTGCGGGCACCGAGTCAACTGGCGGAACAGCGGGCACCGAGTCGTCTGGCAAGACAGTGGGCTCCGAGTCAACAGGCACGACAGTGGGCACTGGGTCATCTGGTATCGGATTGTCTGGCTCGACAGCGGGCATCGGGTCACCAGGTATGACAGCGGGCACTAGGTCACACAGGCATCAGGTCATCTGGCAAGGCAGTGGGCACCGGGTCACCAGGTATGACAGCGGGCTCTGAGTCAATTGGCACGACAGCGGGCACTGGATCAGGTACCGGATCATCTGGATCAACAGCGGGCATCGAGTCAACTGGCCTAATAGGATCGTCGGGCTGGATCAGTTCATCATGCTGAGTAGCGGCATCAGGCCGAGTAGAGGCTTCAGGCCGAGTAGAGGCATCAGGCCGAGTAGAGAGGCATCAGGCCGAGTAGAGGCATCCGGCTGAAGAGAGGCATCAGGCTGAAGAGAGGCATCCGGCTGAGTAGAGGCTTCAGGCTGAGTAGAGGCTTCAGGCTGAGTCACGGAAGGCAGGTTCACCGGTTTGGATACTGGCAGGATGGTATTGGTTGGAAAGAATTTTCGCTTTTTTCTGGTTTTAACTACTGGAGCACTGCAAGTAAACGCAGGTCTGCAAACGAATGGAGCAGCTGGAGACAGAGAAAAACTGGAGGAGGGAACAGGAGAGGGAGCAGTTGCTACAGAGGGCTTTTTTACAGGGTTAAAGGCAGGATAGGTGCAGCGAGTGGGAACAGGGTACTGACATGCGGTAGATAGCCAAGTATACTGGGCTGTAACTGGAGGGGCTGGTGGGAATACAGGAGTAGAGTTAGAAGCAGGACTGGGTTTTTGTAAGCTGACTGAGGCTGGGTGCAACAAGTCTGTCCATGTCTGCAGTATGGGTTGAACAAAGCTGAGCTTACACAAAGCCTGTCTGGTCAATGACTGCACTGCGTTTATACAATCTCTTAGTGTCTGTGGTGAACATGTGGAATAACGCTCCAGAAAGAAACCCACATCATCCTCTAATAACCACACCAGGGACTCTACCTGGTCTGCACTAAATGGTGGCAAAAATTCATCCCTGCATTCGGGGGAACCAGATGAAACCAACTCAGCACAAACCTCAATCAATGGCTGCACCTCAGAGAACTCTGTGCCCTGATCTACTAGAACATGAGCGAGCCGTATACATTCTAGTAGTTGATCCCTGGGATACTCCTTCAGAGTTTGATAAGCATACTCCCTGTCATCAAACACTAGCAGATATAAATACACAACCTCATCCAGATCCATCCTTCCCAGCAACAAGCCAAGATGGCTTCCCTGTGCAGCCACTTCTGGTCAGGATTGGCCTTGGTGTAATGTCAGGGCTCCCAGGTGTGACCAGAGGTGTGTGACTGACGCAGGGAAACGCAGACTTCAGATATGTGATAAACAATATAATTTATTAACACTAACAATACAAACATAAACGCAGTGCAATACTAAACATAATACAGTGCAAACAAACCAACCACCCACAGATAACAGTACATACAAGCAAGCGTCGTCAGGCAGGCCGGTTCAATATCAATAGGGCAGGTAGGTACAGGGGGAGCAAGCGGAGATTGGTCGGGGTCACAGGCCAGGTTCAGCAGGTAGCTAGCAGCGTAGTACAGAGGGTCAGGCAGAGGGATGGTCAGGGTCACAAGCCAGGGATCAGAACAGGTAGCAGGCAGCGTAGTACAGAGGGTCAGGCAGAGGGATGGTCAGACAAGCCAGGGATCAGAACAGGTAGCAAAGAAATCAGACAGGAACAGAGAGCAGGAACAGGATACAGGGCCCAAGAGAAACACAACACCAAGGCAGAGTCTGCAAGTCTGGCCATCCCTTAAATACCCCAGCATTATCAGTTCCAGGTGTTAGCTGGCTGCAAAGTTGAGTCTCTGATTGCTGGGAGCATCCGCTGGCCAGCCCTGGTACTGCAGATCAAAAAGGCAGGTGAGTCCCACCATTGCTGGCTAGTCCATTCCTGACAGTGCTATTTGCAGAATTACTAAATGCATCCACCACACCAAGGACTAGTAAGCTGATTCTTTCCTGAAGACTACATATTAAATTCCTGCAGACTTGCCTTTATTTAGTTTCTGAACAAGGATTGTTTGTTGAGAGAAAAAAGCAAGCATGCAAAGGGGAGCGTGGATGCGTTAAAAAAGTGATTACAATGTCCCTCAGTGAACATTATAAAGGGAGCCTGGCACGAGGAGAATATAAAGGCTGCCAACTAAGGTCTTCTCTTTCTGAAAATGATTGTTGTCTACCTGTTATGCCAATCCAGTGGTGTCAGGAGACACAGACCAGGTATAAGGATCAAAAGTTCCTACTTTTCAATCTTCATGCTTGTTCCAGGTCAGTGATCTAGAAAATATAGAAGCTATGGTAAGCAGAGTACTGCAAAACTAGAACAGCTACAGAAATAAGCCAGAATTCTATCTATGTGTACGGGCACACGACAATGTAAGGTACACAGGATGGCCAAGGCATAGTATACTGGAAGCAACATGAAATGCTCAGTCACTTGACTGAAATGGAAGAAGGTTCTGTATATAATCCTCTAAACAGCCTGGGGTAGGTGATAATTATTTCAAGGTAGTAGTGCTGCAAGGATACACCTTTTTTTTGGCAGCTAGAACAAAGTTTAGACTAGGTAAAACATAGTATCACTAGCAGATAAAGGGTTTTATGGTAATTTCTTTTGTTTAGGAGAGTCAGAGTAGGTACATTAACGTGGACGCAGGGCAAGACAGCTTGCCACTGTTCAACTAGCATAGCAATGCAGACTAGTTATGGTGTCTTGTCATTTTTCCAGAATGATTTGCTATCTCCTATCTTGCCTCTGTGCCAGTATGAAACAGGGGAAAGATTAACAGTGTGTCAGGGGTTGGGAGTTTTTTTTTAAGAAACTTGCAAGATGGGTTAGATAGGAAGGGTGCGTGGGAATAATACAATAGGGTATCCTGGGGCAATAGGGTAGGCATGATGAAAAAAGGTGGAAGGTATGGGGAAAGGATAGCATGGAAAGAAAAAAAAAAGGGAAGGTTTGGGGAAGAACAGAAGGGAAATAGAGAAAGAAGAATGGGTATGTAGAAATTGTGGGAGGATGGGGCAGGTATTCTCCAATGTGAAGGTGCAAGGGTGTAGATCAGTGGTTCAGGGGTCTTCATGAAGGGGTTTTTTTCATGAAATCTGTCCAGTAAAACCATGTTGCTTGGTATATGTCATGGTTGTTTTGAGTGGCATGAATAAAGCCCTCCATTTGCTGATATAGGCCGCCTGGAATGATGAAATCAGTGAATTTTTGAGAGACTTCTCTGACCTTCGTCCAAAGATGATCTTTGGGCATGACCAGAATAAATACAGGATCAAGCCTATGACAGTATTGCAACATTATCACCAGGGCACGTGGCTGCCTCAGAGAGATCATCGATGAAACATGTGAGGGTGGGGCTTATTGGATGATGTCTTCAAGCACGGCAAGTCCAGTAAGTACAGTATCCAATCCAGCTAGCCAGAGCTTAATACCATCAGTGTTTCTACGATTGATGCTTTTATATGTGAGCGAACTGCATGCACTAGAAAATGTGAGTAGCATTTTTATGAGTGGTGTGAATAAAGGTTCTTATTAAAAGATGAAGCACTATGAAGTGTTTGTTTTCTCTCTTGATGCTGTAATTTGGATGAGAGGAGTACAAGTGGCATAATCCACTGGGCATGCAGGATTCCATTTAAAGGGCACTTGTGCTGTTTTTGACCTTACATTTCATGTGGGTTGTATATATCAGGTGAGAGCACAACTGGTGTTTGTGGAGCACAGATGGTGGAGGACTAGAAGAGTGAACATGTTTTGCAAGAGTATAAAAACATGTTGAATGGTATAAAGGAAAAGGCATAAAGACTGTTGCAGCTGGGATTTTTGTTTTTTATTTTGTTTTTCGTTTTTTTTTTTTTTAATATTTGTTTAAGATTGCTGTTACACTAATGACATTTTATTTTAATGAATAGTGCTACACCATTTTACTTTTTATTTGCGTTGCTTAGGCACATATGGGAGTGTTATATAGGTGTGAGCAGCTGATTACAAAAATACATTTTTGTTTTCAGTGAAAAATTAGCAACACAAAGGTTTATTGTTCACGTTGAGGAAGATGATATTAATTTAAATTCCAGTATTTACACTGCATTAAAAATACATCTAATAATGTATTAAAGCATACACAGCTGCATTCTGCTTTTATATCTACCTGGAATTCAGCTTTAAAATGAATAGGGAACACAATTTTTTGGCAAGTGGATGAAAAATATCTGTAACACTTTAGTATAATGCCCCTCTATACATTACTGGTCCAAAACAAAATGAAAATACTAAAGAGAAACTATTTCTTTTTCTAATCTCGCTGACTGCACTTGAGTTCACAATGTAATAACTAGTAAAGTGTTTTGGTGCTGTGTTTTTCAGTTTAATAACTTCTACATGAAGGGCAAATATTTCAACAATATACCAAAATATCCTCCATGAATACAAATGTTTCCCATTATCAGGAAATAAAATGGATGACAGAATGTAGTGAGGTAAAAATGTAATTACAGAGTGATAACAGTCATTATCATAACTCATAGTTCATGGCGGACAAATGCTCTTATTGTACGTAAGTGTCATTCTCAGGCAATAGCTTTTATTTTCTTGTAACATATTGTAATATAACTTAATACAGCAGGCAATCCCTTGAAACAATCCAGGCACGGCGCATAATGTGTAAATCACCTACTGTGATAGTGGAGCATTTGAAGATGGTGTGAGTTATGAGCGATTTAGTCAACTTTAATATGGAGATTCATCAGATGAAAGTTTTGTTTTGCACTGAAATTAGATTTTCTAACTTTCAAATTCTAATGGGGAAAGGAGAAAGGAGTTAAGATTCACATTTTCTTGGAGTTCTCTTATAAAATGAAACTGTTCCCTACTTATGAAGTACACAACTTTCATACTTTCATGCCAGTTATCCTCTTGGACACACTCATTATGGTTAGCAACCTCTATTCATATAAAAATGAATTTTTTATAGACAAAAAAATGGAAACACTTCATGATTTGCAGGTGTGAAAGTGATGACATGTTTTGCTTTAAAAGATGAAGTGATGTAACATTCTTTTGCTTTCGCTGTATGATGAGACACCTAGCTAACAGCCTCACTTTTGTCATTAATTTTGTGCGCTGCTAGTAATACAGAGTCATGTCAGAGCTTATGGAGCTTTAAAGAGG